AATATATATATACATTACGTAAAGAGAGAGAGATATTACTAAATATCGCGTGTGGGTCATCATAGAGTGCGTTTAGTAACTAGTGCACAAACTATTATTCATATCAGCATTCTAAATAAAATTCATTTTCCATTTTTTTTTTTTTTCAAAATCTATCTTTCATCGCCCTATTTTCATTTTGTTCCTTTTATTTGTTTGTTAATTGGTTGGTTTGTTCATTAATTTAATTATGTTATTTGTTTTGTTTTGCTTTGTTTTCTTAATACACATATACATTTATATATTTTTATTTAAATTAATAATACACTCTTGATCGATACGGCCGTTCAGTCTTACAATGCTCGAACGTAGTATGAGTAAAACACTTTGAAAAGATTCTATTTATTTTATTTTATTTTTTTTATACGCGTTACTTTTCGTCTGAAGGTCTAAAAATTGAGCTCTGCTTCTAGCTAACATAAGTGGCTGGAGAAAACGCAGCAGACGACCGCGAAACTTTTTAATTAGTCGCCAGATTTCTTTTACCTTTTTCTTTTTTTCTGCGCACACTCTTCCGTAAGCCAAAGATTTTTCGTTACTTTTTAATTTTTTTTTTTTTTGGTTTGTTAGCTTATCTTTCCGACCAACAATATCACGCGCTACTTTTAGAAAACACACTCGTGAGAATAAGATTGAAAATCGTATATAGAAACAACTCGATGCTTTTTTTTTGTGGCGGTGGGGGAGGGAGTGATTTGGTATTTTCTTTCTATTTTTTCATATTCATATCTTTTTTTTCCCCTTTTTTTCTTCCTTTTAGTAGCACAAATTTACAAACGGATTATTTGTGATTGACTACTAATCAGCTAATTAGTTTTAAAGTCGGCACACGTGTTCTGACACGGTCGTCGAGTTAGTTTCTTTTTTTTTGGTATTTTTGTTTTTTAATATATATAAAAAAATGAACATTTTCGTGGCGTACGGTGGAGGATTAAAAATCCGGAATAATTTAAGCTGCCCTAATTTTTTTTCTTTCTTTTTTTTTTTTTTTTAATAATTCATTTCCGAGTTTCAACTAGGATCAAACGATACGATTTGTTAACTGAATTGATTCTAAAACGTTGTTTCTCGTATCGATAAACCGGTTCGATTTTTTTTCACATTCCTTTCTAATTCTCGAAGATTCTTCGATTTTTTTAATTAAATTTAATTAAAAAGGCATGTGTCGTGATATTGTTAATGTTTTTGTTTCGTTTGATTTGCTACAACAAATTTCTCTTTCAAGAATCTAAAGAAATTTCTCGTTAGAACAAAAAAGAGTTTTATTTTTGATTTGGATAATAACAAAGGAAAAATTTATTAATTTAACACAAACGTAATATAAGGAGTAAGATTCTTCTTGAGAACAAAAACAAATATAAAAGAAAAAAGAATCAAAACCATCCCTTCATCGTATTGTCAAGTATAAATAAAAACAAACTATTATTTAATCGATATATTAATAATGTGAAAAATTGTTGTCGCAAACGGAATTTCGATTTTGACAAAAAAGTTTCTTTCTTTTTATATTATAATTTCTGTTAATATTATATATATTAACACATGTATCACTTTTCTAATAATAATAGCTACCGCTTTTGTTGGATTGATCCTAAAGATGTATTGTTATATACATTGATACACCAGCGATGTGACTATTTGAATAAATAATCGATCACGACAAAAACATCCACAAGATAGAAGAGACATTAAGCTCGGATTTTGGATCCTGAAGCGTTCTTATTATCATTGTGGTTTTGCGCGAAGAAGAGCATCGAACTGAGTAACATATATACACACACATATATGCATATACATGTACATATAATATATTAATTATAATTATTATTATATATATTAATATCGTATTACAAGTAATACTAAATATAGTAATACTTATATACACATATAATAAATATAATATTATATTATATTTATTATATGTGTATATAAGTATTACTATATTTAGTATTACTTGTAATACGATATTAATATATATAATAATAATTATAATTAATATATTATATGTACATGTATATGCATATATGTGTGTGTATATATGTTACTCAGTTCGATGCTCTTCTTCGCGCAAAACCACAATGATAATAAGAACGCTTCAGGATCCAAAATCCGAGCTTAATGTCTCTTCTATCTTGTGGATGTTTTTGTCGTGATCGATTATTTATTCAAATAGTCACATCGCTGGTGTATCAATGTATATAACAATACATCTTTAGGATCAATCCAACAAAAGCGGTAGCTATTATTATTAGAAAAGTGATACATGTGTTAATATATATAATATTAACAGAAATTATAATATAAAAAGAAAGAAACTTTTTTGTCAAAATCGAAATTCCGTTTGCGACAACAATTTTTCACATTATTAATATATCGATTAAATAATAGTTTGTTTTTATTTATACTTGACAATACGATGAAGGGATGGTTTTGATTCTTTTTTCTTTTATATTTGTTTTTGTTCTCAAGAAGAATCTTACTCCTTATATTACGTTTGTGTTAAATTAATAAATTTTTCCTTTGTTATTATCCAAATCAAAAATAAAACTCTTTTTTGTTCTAACGAGAAATTTCTTTAGATTCTTGAAAGAGAAATTTGTTGTAGCAAATCAAACGAAACAAAAACATTAACAATATCACGACACATGCCTTTTTAATTAAATTTAATTAAAAAAATCGAAGAATCTTCGAGAATTAGAAAGGAATGTGAAAAAAAATCGAACCGGTTTATCGATACGAGAAACAACGTTTTAGAATCAATTCAGTTAACAAATCGTATCGTTTGATCCTAGTTGAAACTCGGAAATGAATTATTAAAAAAAAAAAAAAANAATAATAATAATAATAATAACAATAATAGTAATAATAATAATAATAGTAATAATAATAATAATAATAATAATAATAATAAAAATATATAAATACTTATATGTATGTGTATATATTTTAACGATTATTTAATCGGTATGGAAGTGTGAGGTTTACTCTTAAGAATTGATTGCGTGTGTTTCTCTCAACAATATGCGACAACGAATGCGTTTCTCCGTTATATTATAATTATTGTGTAAATATAAAGTTCGTACAACTACAGATAGACAAAGAGAGCGAAGCGAGGCACAGGTATATTGTTTGCGTATTATATTTTGTTTTTGTATATATATATCTTTCTCTCTCTTTCTCATATACACGAACACATTAAACCATTTACTGACTCGATTCGATCTCTTTTACATTCGATTTTCTTTTTTCATATTCATTACTAGACAGCCACTCTTCTCTTTCTCCCTCAGTATTTTTTTTTTATGATATTACTTATCAGATCCTAAATCTTAAACATCATCATCATCATCATTATCATTATCATCAAAAAATTACGCTTAGGTTTATGCAAAACGTACATACGTGAGAATTGTTTGTTTTGTTTTAATATAACACATTCGTGAACAGGCAGTTCCCGTTTTTTACGAATCAATTTTTATTTTAATCTCTCTTTCTCTGCCTCATATTGTTTTCAATTAACTTTATTGTACAAACACATATTCATTTAATAATTAAATTTTTCCCATTTAACAAATGTTCTAATGATAATAATAACAATAAAAAATAGATCTGTTTGGATATAAATGACAATATTTCAAAAAGTATATAAAATAAAAAACGATTATCTTTAATAGCAAAAAATGTTAATTTAACGCAAAAATTAGTTCAAGCGGGAACTACCTGTATGTAATTTCTCACAAACTATGTGTGTGTATGTATATATATATTTTTTTTTTATATTTATTTATTTTTAATTTTAATATCGTATGTACCTGTGTGTCTTCGATAATATGCAATTATTTTCCATTTTTTTTCTTTTCTTTATTGAGCTACCCGCCTACGTAGCAGTGTGTTCTCTGCAAAGAGAGTTTACCTAAGGGTAAAATTAATACAATATGATTTATATTTACATTAACTATCTACAATTATCTACACATCAATAAACGGTTAGTTTTAGTGGTTTTTTTTTTTTATTATCGTTTTATTATTACCTTCATTTTTTTTTCTTCTTTTTTTATTTGTTAATCGGCTTTTGCTGCATCTTCTTTCTTTCTCTCTCTATATGTATTATGCAACAATACATGTATATATTTATATATACATACATATATATATATATATACCAGACGTGTACATATATAAATATATACATACAATATATAATATATTTCAAATCTTTTTACGTCTCATTTTGCATTTCCTCTTTATATCTCTTATACCATTTCAGTTTTTTGTTTTTTTTTAATCATCATAAATCATCTCTATAATCATCATCATTCATCTAAATCATTCGCACTAGGCTTCGCATTCTCTCAATCCCGTTCACATACAATAATTATCATTACTTTTTTTTAATAATGGCGTTGTATAGTCACCGAAAAAAAAAAAAACAAATGTCTCTCATCATTTTCTCGACTAGTTCGAAGCAGCAAGTTTTTTTATCATCATCATTATTATAATCATTGTACAAAAAAAGCAATCGTCTCACTCATATATTAATCGACTTTTATTTCAATTCGCAAGTGACGATTGTTCACAAAAGTGCAATAATAATAATAGAAAAAAAAAAGAAATAGAAATTAAAAAATAAAAAAAATAAACAACACATGCATACAAACGAAAAAGTGAAATAAATATGCCAACTTAAAAATAAAAAATAAAAGGGAAAAAAAGAAACAGGATAATAAACGTATTAATATAATAATAATATAATAATAATAATAATAATAATATTAATAATAATAGTTAATAATAATAATAATAATAATAATAATAGTTAATAATAATAACATTAATAATAATAATAATAATAATAATAATAATAATAATATTAATAATTATAATAACCGATAGCTACGCAGCCCGTAAGTAAAAAAGACTGACGCTACGTTTTGTTTTGAGAAATCGTGAGCCTCTTTTTCTTTTTTATTTATTTATTATCTTTTTCTCATTCTTTTCCTAAAACCTCCATTTTGTTTTTCCGTTTTCTTCTCTACTATTATCATCATAATCATCATCATCGTTATCATCCTCATTTATTATCATCGGCAGCTCTAAAATAAAATTTGTATCTCTTTCTCTCTCTTTTTCCTATCACTTCTCTTCTTATTATTATTATCATTAATATTATTATTATTATTATTATTATTATTATTATTATTAATATTATTATGAAAATCCTTTCGATTTATTCGAAAAGGACACACGCTATTCTTCTTTGATCCATTGATCGAACTCGGTAATTTTTATTGTTGTTCCTCTCTGCTGTTATATTTATATATATTATTATTATTACTGTACGTTTATATACGATAAGGACAATCAATGATCAGTAATTTTTTATAATCTCTTTGGGCAAACGTATTATCTCATTCTTTTTCTTCTTCTTCTTCTTCTTTTTCTTTTTATTAAGACTTCGTCCTTCTTCTTGATTATAATTATTAGTTTTTCCTCAAAAGATTAATTATTTCTCTTTATCATGTCATTCCCCATGATCTCTCCTTAGAGATTTAGATATCATCGGCAGAGAAAGGTACTCAGATTCAAGTCAAATTAGGCTGCGGCGAGGATGAGGTAGCAGATGAATAATATGAGGCCAAATCCTATATAAACGCCCAACATTCCAGTGTCTTAACGACAAAGTCTTCGTGTGGTGCCAATGGTTCATTGCCATATGTGCTACATGATTGTGTCCTTCCTTGATAAAGGTCACCGTCCAACCAGAGTCCAAATTTACCACTGCAAATAGTAACGCAACATTAATTTGTTTGTCTTTTTAAAATTCTTTTTCTTAGACTTATGTGCTTATTTACCTCTCTTGCATAAGTATATGTTTGTAATTGTAATTTATTCATAAAAAAAAAAAAAGAAAGAAAAACTTACTCTCCAGCTCCTATGGCAAGGCTCTCGTTGTTGCCTTTAATGAAATAAAGGTTGTCACCAGTCCAATTGAAAGCTTGGAACCTTGGTGTGAACCTAAAGAGTAAGGACTCGCCGGTACCGTAAAAGTGATCACTAACATGCAATGCACAGGAAGTCAATGCTCCAAACACCTGCAACATCAATTAAAATCACTTATTGTATATGTCTATAATCATTTTATTTATTTTATGATTTGGATTACTGTATCATTTACAAGAAATTTAATTTAATTTCTTGTATATATATATACGTATAACAAATATTGTAGTTGATACTTACATTACCCTCAGTGTCCTCGATGACCAGCAAAATTGGGCTTTCGATTTTTCCCATTTTTCTGTACATACTGTTCAGACTAAAACCATTTTGACTCGTACTGAATACTAAAGTCCAAAGGTAGCCTTCTGCTCTTGCTGGTAAATGTCTGCATAAATGTTCTCTGTGTTCGTCGCTGAGAATCTCTGTTGTACCAACAAGATCCGGTATAATTATATCGTTGTCTAGTGAGACTGCACTATTCGCATAGAGAGCTCTCCTTAGCTCCTCGCTCATAGACAGCACCTAAGAGGAAATAGAAAATAAATCATTTTAAATATTGCATCGATATGAATATTTAACAACATGGTATATATGATTGTGCTTTATTATGATAATTTCGAATGACGGAAAAAAAGTAGTCAGCTTAATTGAGCGTTTAATCGATGTTTCTTTTTATTTATTTATATATATATTTGCATAAATGATTAATAACGATTGGATATAAAATGTAATTCTAAGGTTACTTATGAATACGTTTTCGTATTTTATTTTTAATCGGTCGAAATTTAAACAATAAAATAAATTAATATATTTTTCGTAAAATTATATATAGTTTGCAATAATATGCTCGATTAAGCAACTGATTATTTCCAAAATAACGTGATATCAAAGATTTCTAATTCTAATCTAAATCTAAACACAATTAACACCTATAGGCTAGGAATCCAAATATTGTGTTCTTCTTGTTGTTCTAATTACATTCGTTTGTATGAAAATATAAACAACAATTTCGTGTTTTTAAACATAGAATTGAAATGTGCAAATTGCAGCGAGTGAAAAAAAGAAATATTTTTTCTTTTTAGATGATTATATATTTTACTGAGAAAATTAATAGAGATGAATGATTAAGCTGGAGGCGAGTATATGTAAAGATAAACACTTGCGGAAAATGTGAAGAATAAATTAATGGTAAAGATGATTTATAATAAGAGTATAACAATAATATATTATTTTAAATATATAAATAAATAAATAAAAAAAAAAAAAGAAAAAATTGCATATATATATTTATAATAATTTTATTTATTTATTTAATATAAATACTCACGAAATGATATTAAATTAATTCTGAATGTTTAAGTTAAAAACTAACTATTTTATTCAAATATTTACAAATACGATCCTTTGTTTAATCCAACATCCTTAAATCGAATTATTTGACGTATAAATATATATAAAAAAAGGAAAAATAAAAAAAAAATTCAAGAAGATCGAAAAATATTTCACGAGTCATATGGTATCATTTATGTAGTTTTGAACCATTAGTTGACTCATCTTTTTTAATCAGCAAGATTAATTAAATTGCATATATTAATATACATATTATACATAACAACACACACACACACACACACACACACACACACGTAGAAATAGTTGATCATTCGAGTTGGTGTAACAAACGGATAATATATTCGTTTTATATTGCGTTACGATTAGGATAAGAAAATTATAACGATGTTGTAAGGCTTTGCATATTTGAATTTTAAATATATTACGAAATTTACATAATCAAAACTTTTCTTCGAGGTGGTGATATATATATATGGTTCCTAATGTTGCAATTAAAAAGATATCATATATACTCTGGTTTACGAACATTAATTAAACGGATCAATTGGTCATTATGTTGTCAGAGAAAAATTGTTATTGTATTTATTAAGTATTGTTATTGTGTATTTTAATTAATCATCAAGGATTTATTGTAATTAAGTTTCATTTTGATATCGATGTTTTAAAGATAATAAAAAATGTTTGTATATAAAAAACAAAAGATAAATAATGTACAATATATATAAAAGAATATTTTTAAATGATACAATTCTTATATCTTTTGTTACGTTAAAATATAAAATTGATCATTCAATAACCATAATTTGTGTTATAATTTGAAAATCAAGTAGATTAATTAATTCTAATTATGTCCCATTTTCATCTTAGCAAGGATAACGAGAGATCAATTTACGAAGAAAATAAAATTAAAGAAAAAGAGAAAGAGAAAGAGAGAGAGAGAGAGAGAGAGAGATCATTGTCAACTACAAAATGGTCATGGAAGATTAAATCGTTGATTGCAAACAGTATGACGACACATTCCAATTATCTTACGTGCGAACCTTTGATATAACATTACATACACATATTTCATTATATCGTACATGTAAGTACATATGTAAGAAAATTCTAACCTTATAATCGAACGATAAAAATATGAAAGTTAAGAATAAAAAAAAAAAGACGGTGCAAGGCTAACCAGATATGTAACAATATTGTAATATAGGCAATATTCAATATTAAATATTACAAGGATGGAAAAAACAAACAAAAACTAAAAATAAAACCTTGCCATCTCTCTCGTAGAAAAAAAAAAAAAAAANAAAACCTTGCCATCTCTCTCGTAGAAAAAAAAATAAAATAAATACAAAATAAAATAAAACAAATTATTTATATATTCTATAACAGTATAATATTTAATTTAAATCGTAAAAGATGAATTAAAAAGAAAATTAATTATTCTTATTTTTCTCTTTTCATTCCTATTCGAGTTGTTGTTGTTGTTGTTGTAAATAAAAAAATATTCAAGGAGTTTTATATTCAATCGATGATAAATGTACACTAATAGCGTTTATGTATTTTTTTTTATGGTTTTACAAATACGATGAATAATAAAAGAAAGAAAGAGATACCGTACGAGGTCAAGGTGATAAAGTAGTCGAATTACTTGATAAAACACACCCGAGGAATTATCTTCAATGTTTTTTTAATCTTATTAAATATAATTTTTTTATCTTTTAATTTTGAGAATTTTATTTCAGAGAAATTTATTAAATAACAAAATTAATCGTAATGAACGTTATCATTGATTAGACTCCAATGTTATAAGTCGAAGTTCATATTATCAAAGTTTATTATTAAATTCCAAATCTTTAAAATATATTAAATTTAATTAAATTAATAATAATCGGGGGGTAATAAGAAAACATATGTGTGTTTGTAATGTGTATTTGCCAGTAATTTATAATGGTCACATTTAAAAAAAATATAGTTTTGAAATTAATTTTACGATTATATATATACACACACGTGGAATAATATATTATAAAAATACAACATAAAATAAATATTAAACATATTTAAAAATTCGATCAACAATTCAAATTATTATCAGCACAAAACAATTATGTTTCGTATATCAATTCATAATTTGTAGTTAAAGTTTTACCAATCGATATATATATATATATATTAATTATATTAATATAATAATTATTAAATAAAAACTTGTGAGTTAAATAAAATTTACTCGTAAATTAGTATCTCTCAATGCAGTCCAATTTAAATTTATATCCCTCGGTTTATCTACTTAACGTTAATTAACATGTCTTGTAACGATGAAAGAAAAGAAGGAAAGAATGAGAGAGAAAAAAAAAACATGCAATAAAGAGACACGATAAGAATAATGTCTTGTCTTATGCATCATCGTCATTATCTTCATCATGGACTTAGGTTGATGTCAATGACATAATAATATTCATCCTTGTTTGTTATATGCATAGTACAACAAGATATCCATGTGTTTCATGGTATAACGTGAAATTTGAACTACTAGTTAGACAGATGATACTTGTCAACGTTCATGATGACCGAGAACTAAGTTTCTACATATCTATGAGTTTAATTAAGTGTATATATATGTGCTATTTCTTTTGATAAAAAATATATTAGATCTTTGGAATAACTTATCATCAAAGTAATCATTTTGTTTATCCGTGTTAGTAATCATATTTAAATAGATGTAATCATTATTTATATGTACCTTTTAAACAAATTTATTATGAATATAATAAATAGATATACGTATATATATATATGTTTATTCTTCGAAATAGTTTCCTTTCTTTATTTTCGATAAATTTAATTTCGTTCATCTTTCATGCAACTCTGTACAATTCCTCGATGATTGAAAAAAAGAAAAGAAAAGAAAAGAAAAAATGAAAAAGGATGCCGATTTTGATATCAACGAATTTCTTTGATTAATTCTAGAAGAAGAAAAAAAAGAATAAGAACAATTTCTTACCGAAAGCATTCTGGAAGAATGTTGAAACACGTAATTAAGGATCGGACAAGGATCGGCAAACATGGCGTCAGAAGATGTTTTTGTAATCGACAAACTCGTAAAAAGAAATTAGTTTCTTCGATTAAAAAACAATCTCTCTCCCTCTCTTTTTCTCTCTCTCTTGAACGATCGAATTAGATATGATCACACGTTTATTTAATAAAAAAAAAAACAAAACAAAAGAAAAAACCGAAATATTGTGCTTACAACGATTAATTAGGATTCTCGGATTCGACGAATCGTTCCGAACGATCGAAAGGTTCGACACTGACAATGAGAACGAGTATCGGTGGTAAACTTTAAACTGCGGATTTCTTTAAATGGCGGCCGTCGCCGCCGCCATTGCCATCGGCCGACTCTCTGTGCAAAGAGGTTTATGAGAAGAAGAAAAAAAAAAAAAAAGTAAAAAAAAGGGGGGAAAAAAGAAAAAAAGAAACAGCTGGATAACTCTACTTTTTTTTTCTTTTTCTTTTCTTTCTTTCTCACTATCTCACTCGCTTACTCTTTCTTTCTTCCTTTCTTTCTTTCTTTCTTTCTTTCTCTTTTTGCATTTAATGTCAAGTACGTATATATAAATTCCATAGTGCAAGCAAGCAACAGGGATCCTCGACGACCTTGAGTGCATTATTCTACCAATCAAGATCGTCCTTCGTTCTTTCACTTCTTTCTTTCTTTCTTTTGGTGCAAAACCAAGTGCAATTACCCGAATTAATGAACTTTAAGAGACCTTTATATATATATATGTTAAGTCAAACTTGAACATTAAACACTATAATAATATTAATAATTATGGAGGGGGAAAAGTTCTTTTCTACTTGTTCGAATAATTTGATAATTATATCCGAATTTATTTTTCATTTTGTTATTCTTGTATATGAATAGTAATGATATTGATACTCTATTTATATATTGAATAATATAATAATATTTAAATAATATTGTTTAATCAAAAGTATATTCATTTTATGATATAAAATACTGAAAAATATTGATACTATTTATTTATCGAGCCAAAAAATATTAACTATCTAAATAATATTAACATATAGAAAAAAAGGATAGACTTGAATTAAGTTAATTATGATTAGCAAAAAAAAGTAGGAAAATTATTTTCATGGAAAAATAATTT